AGTCCGTTTCCACATTTAAACGGTAGAAATTATGCGCAATCAAATTTTACCGAGTATTTTTTAGAAATTTTTGAATTTTTTTTATTTTTAAAAATAAAGTTTTAAAGATGAATTTTGACCACTCGTAAAAAATTTCGATTTCGAATTATTATTAGATGACTTACTGCCATTATTTTACCACGTTGAATCTTTCCTAAAAGTTTCCCATCTCAATTTCCGAACACCCTGTATATGTTGGTTATACTAGTCTATATCAACCCAACCGAACCTCCAGGGCGAGGGCTTAGATGTTATGATATTCCTCTACTTACTATATATGTTGCATCAACTCATACATCCATTAAACGTATGTAGAATTGTTGTGTACTGTGTGTGCTCGGTGACGTACGGTTATGAAAAAATGTTTCTCGAAACATACTTTACTGGCGATTTTCATAGGAACCGCCTAATTAAAACCAATTCGATACGCATGCGTGCCGGTTGGCCATTATTCTGCTGCCCGTTTGCGTTCGATGAAAACGCGGCGATAAAAAAATGCACGCTTTAAACAAATAATTACGATCTAAAGACCCGCTCGTTTTCGGCGGAGCCTTCGTGCAAAATGTTAAATAAAACGATTTAATATTATCGGGATTTACACGTGTTAAATAAGACCGCCGTTCGTGACCGACGCCATTTTTTTGCCCGCGCGTTCCGGGGACCCCGTCTCGTCCCCACCCCCGCCCGATCCCCAATTTCGGCGAGGAACCCTCGCGTTTTTATGGTCGATAATTATTAGAATACGCAATTTTTATTGCAACTAGTGGGCAGTTTCGATGTCCCTCGCCTTAAGATTTAAATTATCTTATACTGTCTTTCATCCGAGGAAATGTACAATACCGATGGTAGTGTGATTTTAATTAAAAAATAAAGCTATATATTCGATATTTAATTGGTTGCTTAAAATCTAAACTTCTTGTTGATACTCCGTAGTCACCTCCCACCTCCCTCCCCTTTATACTAAGTAAATTAATTTTTCTACCCTCGTCTGCCGCTTTACCACGTCAGTTTCGTTTCCCACGGATCCGAGCCACTTTGAGCACGATTTCAGTCAGGGAATGTACTCGTAAAATAAATAAGAACTAAAGGTTCGGATTTTCAAGAAATTATATGAAATACTACATGCTATAAGCTACAATTAAAATCTAGTGGAGTACTCGGTTTGTAAAGTGACATTTGTAATTTAAGTTCACCACAGAAATTTTACGTACCGTTCCCATGAACTTTAGTGGTTTTTACAGTTTTATATTAATGTCTTGCCAAGACCAATTGTACCATTTTCAAATATCCATCTCTCATCATGACATTCAATAACACATCTCTCTCTGTCTAACGTATACAGTTAAAAATAGACAACAATAGCGGAACCGATCGGAACAATAAGGGAATTGGTTTAGTGGCAACTAGTAAATATTTTGATTGAATGGTTCGAATTAGCTGTTATTATTTTTAATTCGTTAAATTGTGTTTTTTTTGTAAGCAGAAAAAGTATAGTATGCTAGACGTTTGGTAAACTCTTTATCTCACTCTCTTATTAAGCACTCACTCCACTGCGCTCCGCTTGTGCCAAATAAACTCGTGACCCAAAAGCCGCTTACCGCACTTGTTGCATAATATACTATTTTTCTACTCCCTTCTGTAAGATACCTAAATTATACACCGATTCAGCGTGCGGAAAATGTCATTTTACCACTTTCGTTTCATTTGCCACTGATTCGAGCCACTTCGGACCTTTCCGCGATATTATCGCACTCGTATGAGAGCAGTCGGATACTTTCGAACAATCATGTTAGTGAATATTCGTGTTGTTTTACAAAAAGGAAAAGCATTCAACCCATTTGGTAAACTTTTTAATAAACACTCGCTTCGCTCTTGCTAAATTAACTCGCGACTCAAGGTACGTTTACCACACTGATTGCATAATATTCCATTTTTACATCTTTTACGCAATTTGGTATGAAAGAGCAAATAATGTTTAAAATACATTTCCTTAATTTACTTTAAATTTTTCCACCTTAGTCGCTGTCTACGTCTTTTTCCTGGAAGCCTCATTGCAGTATTCGTTATGGTTTGGCATTATTGGATGTGACCATATCATTCCAGTGCTCTCCTTTCTAAGTTCCCTGCGTTCTACTCCCAGTCGTTTTTGTGACTTGTATGTATCTTCTCATATAATCAATCCAGTTTGATCGATGATATGTTTCTTCTTATTGTTGAAGTTATTGGCTGTGCTTCTGCTCCATTTGATGTGATATTGCGTACCATGCTTTGAAAGTTCCTTTTTTTTGTTTCATGCACCATATGGTCGATCCTAAATACTTGAAAGTTTGGTGAATATTGATAATTTCGTTCTCCCAATCTAAATCTTAAATTTTATTATTAACATTATTTCAGATATATTAAAATCCGAGATCTGGAACCAAAGCTTCTCCTCTTAATTGAAAAGTGCGTGTCAGGAACATATTTTTTTTGTAACGGTCAAATTTACAAACAAACTTGTCCTTGTCTTGTCTTGTCCAATTTTAATAATATTTAGTATAATTTCACACATACACATAATTCGTATTCTGGTTTTAGTCCTCTTGTTATGACTATTAATACCTTTAATATATTGCCTTTTTTTATCTATGTTTTTTATCTTTTTACTTTTCGCAAAACTTCTATATTCCACCTGCGTCGGTTTTTGTTTAGTCAAACTTGCTAACGTTTCGCCAGTCATCTTGTTGACTTCTTCAGAGCTTAACAGGGGGAATCCAGAAGTTTTGTAAAAAGTATTGCAGTTGTCTGTGGAAGTTTCCTTGAACAATTAACATTTGTTTTTATCACTATTAATTTTTAGAAATCTCTAAAAAAAGGAAGAAAAAAAAAAGAAAAAGGATAAGGCTTTTCAGTACTTTACAAAACTTCTGGATTCCTCCTGCGTCGGTTTTTGCTAAGTCGAACTTGCTGACGTTTCGCCAATCATCTTGTTGGCTTCTTCAAAACTTAACTGAAACTGTTTCATGAGGATTGGCGAAACAATAACAAGTTTGACTCAAGAAGAACTGACGCAGGAGGAAGCCAGAAGTTTTGTGAAAAATATTGCAGTAGAAGTTTTCTTGAAAAATTAACATTTGTTTCAATCACTAAAAATCTTTGCTTACTTGTGTTGTGTGTGCAAATTGAACTTTTAAAAATGAGTTGATACGGGAATTTCTATTAAAAAACGAACGAACAACAATAAGTTGGCTATCGCAGCCCGTAGAGTTGTGAATACGTAAGTTCGAAAGCTACGTCGGTGAGTTACATTTTAAAATATAATATTAACACTTTATTTCCAACAGGTAACGGGTCCCAATTACAGGAAGCATTAAATATATTTACAGGGGACGTAAAAACTAATCTTAAATATACTAATTTTATTACTAAAAAGAGGAAGAAAAAAAAAGAAAAAGGATAAGGTTTTTCAGTACTTTACAAAACTTCTGGATTCCTCCTGCGTCGCTTTTTGCTGAATCGACCTTGCTGACGTTTCGACAATCACCCTGTTGGCTTCTTCAGAGCTTAACCAAAACTGTTTCATGATGATTGGCGAAATGTTAACAAGTTTGACGCAACAAAAACCGACGCAGGAGGAATCCAAAAGTTTTGTGAAAAGTGCTACAGTAGTCTGTGGAAGTTTCTATGAAAAATTAACATGTGTTTACTGGTTAGTTGTGTTATTAGTTGATCTGGGAATTTCCATTAAAAAACGAACAAATTCCTCGCTCAGCAGCGCAAAACGCAAACGTACGTGACGATATGCCGCAGCGAATATTGTACCGGATTAATAATAATTATTGTAAAATGCGGCCGGCTGTCTTTCGCGTTTAATAACGTAATTAGCGGACGGTCCTGCTACCGACAGTTATTGAAACTCCGCTTAATTGCCGGCAATAATATATAATTTTGATTGGATTACTCGCTATTCGGCGAATTAATGAGGTTGTTGATATTTCCTCGCGGTATTCGGCAAAAAAGGGGCGGATCGAAAACTATAGCTCATAATAATTTCCTTTATCTTTTTTCACATAAATAACATTTGCTTGTCGTGTCCGACGCCGACGCCGCAGCGAAACACATTTTTCATAGGTCCGGGAAATATGGAGTCTAAACGGGGCAGTTGTAAAAGGATACGCTGCTGATGAGAGATTAGCCAAGCGGTAGGAGGGCTTTTACGGTTTCGTTTTTCTTTCTTTTCAGTAATTTATTCGGTTCGCGTGTATTTGCCGGCCAATATTTCAAAAATGTTACGCATTGGAAACGATCTCTCATGAGACCTCGTAGTAAGAGACCTGTTAGATACTTTAGGTACTACGGAAATTTTACAAGCACCTTTGACCCTCAACGAAAAAATAATGTTTTGGTTGGTTCTTCAGCTTCGGCGACAAGAACTTATGTTTTTAATTATTCTCAAGTACTGGGTTATTCATGATATTCTGACACCCACTTACAGGGTTAATTTTGAAGATAGAAATAAAATATAAATACAAAAGCTTAGTATCACACGAAATACCAGGACAATAGAAAGAAAATTTGATGAAGAACCCAATATATTACTTTACTTTCAATTTAAACAACAAGACTTTGAGTTCTACTTTCTTCAATTTTATATTTCATATCTTTTAAAAAATCCTAGATATTCTATACCTGAATTGAATATAGTTGAATAATAAAATTTCATTATTTGACTTTTTTCTTCCTCAGTATAACCCGTTTGAAATATCTTAAATTATTTAACTTACGCTACATATCAAGGTAGACTTAACCATTTTTAAACAATATAGATATTGTCCAGAAATCGAATGATAATTGTTTTTAAACTGAAATATCTTAAAAAGATCTAAGTGAAATGTCAATAAACTAAAAAAAAGGATGTTGCTGTCATTTTGACAGCTTGCGATGTAGTTAGTGTGTATCTTTCAAAATTAGGTGGATCTCCAAATATAATAAATAACGCTGTACATTAGCAAAGAAAATATGAAGGAAAGAACTCATTGGTTAGAAGACCAGGAAGGAATGTAGAGACAATAAGGTGCGTAAAAAAAAACGATTACTTTTTTTAGATCTGACACACAAAAACTAGTTGCTACTTACCTCTAGAAAGTACTTACCACGTATGAAGTCTTAATATTAATGGGAAGATTATACTCATTACAGTTTTATATTTTCGATTTGGTCTCATATATAAATAATCATATCTTAACACCAATAGATCATTAAGTCAATTTTATTAATAATTTTTATAGGAAATTAAACGCTCTACAAAAATGGTCTTTTATACTTTTTCGATAAATCTACCCTTCTCAAAGATAGTGGAGGTTAAAAATTGAAGAATTTCAAAAAAAAAATAACTTTTGTTCTGAACTTTGTTATGACTGTAAAAGTATAATAGTGAAAAAATGTTATGTGGTTTATCGATTAGGTACTCAAACCATTTTGAAGATATTTGCATTGGAATCCTAATGTATTCATAGTTTAAAATAAATATTCATAAAAATTCATTCATTAAAATTGTAGTTTATTTTAATAAAATCTCAATTTTTTTTATATCATCATCATATATTCTTTCCTAATAAAATTTCTAACAATATTTTCTTTTATAATTTTACTTTAGTCACAGTTGTAGATCATAAGTGAATATTTCTCAACGCGTACAGCCTGTAGCATGTCCCCTACTCTATTCAAAATATAATAACAAATATGGGGGTAGATTTAGATGACAAATATTTGAAAAGCCTCTTTTTTGTAGACGATTAAGTGATTATAGCTTGGGATGACGAACACTATGAGAATTGAGACTGAAGTGAATTGAAGACTGAATATATGAAAGTAGGGGGAAAACACAAAGATGAAGATACTTAGAAAAATAAAAAGAGCTACAAATTACAAATACTTGGGAAGCGTCATAACTGAAGAAGGTAATTCAAAAACAGACATTCAAAACAGAGCTCAGCAGGGAAGAAGCGCTTAATTCCTTGCTGTGGTCCAACGATATTAAAACATGTACGAAAATTAGAATATATGAAGCAGTTGTGTAACCCATCTTAACGTACAGCGCAGAATGCTTCCAAATGACGAAGAACGACAAGAAAGTTATCGACACAGAAAAAACACATCAGGAATGAAGAAATACGAAGAAGAACAGGGAGAATTCATATCAGCACTGACCGCATTGAAACTAGACGACTTATATGGTATGGGCACGTACAGAGAATGAACGATGAGAGATGGCCAGAAAGAGCACTAAAACATACCCCCAAAAACAGAAGGAAAAAAGTAAGACCTATCACCTCATGGAACGATAGTATAAGAAATATAATGAAGGCCAGAGCAATTAAAGAAGATGAGTGGAGGAATAAAAATAAATGGCGGTCGAATATATATATATATATATATATATATATATATATATATATATATATATATATATATATATATATATATATATATATATATATAGATGACACTATATTCCGGGATATCATCCGTTCGCTCGTTGAACTCCGACTGGGATCCTGCATCCGACTGGAATCCTGCAAATCCTGCATCCGACTGGAATCCTGCAGACGTTTCGCCAAAATCTCACTTGGCATCTTCAATGCTCGTGCTCCGAAAACACTTCGAACACTATGTTTTCCGATTTTCCGATCTCTGGTGCTGATAATTTAGTTAAAAGAATTCTATATATACAATATAAGTACCCATTGTGTTCTTCGAAATGGTTCGAGTAATCGATAAACTACAAGAGACTTTTTTGTAGAGCATTTCCTGTACAAATTATTGATCTATTGGTAATAAGTTGTGATTATTTACATATGAGATTAAATCGCAAATGCAAAACTATAATGGAGATAATCTTCCCATTAATATTAAGAGCTCATACGTGATAAGTACTTTCAAGAAGTAACTAGTTTTTGTGTGTCAGTTCCCAAAAAAAATTGTTCTTTTTGACCTACCCTAATAGACAATTGAGGCTAAGACAGAAAATCATCGAATATCAAATGTCAAGACAGAAAGCGAACACTTATGAATTATTGAACTGCAGAAAGAGAAGGAGAGCTTGAATGACGAGAAAGAAAGGGCTTTGATGTTCAATTTATTGGTTTGATTTGTAAATAATAATGGAAAAAAATCGTAGGGCAAATAAGGCTTATTTGAACAACTAAAACATCTGTTACGTCTACATCGGCGTCGTCCTACGGTTTCGAATGAAATATCCTCGGCGAAGCAATTTATCATAATGATATCGTCGGTACGGAATTTGATTCCGAATGAAAATTGTATTTCGGTTGTCGTCGGCGGTCGCGGTAAATAGTGTCAGGGGTTGTCACAGTTCATAAAAGAGCGAGAAATTTGCACCGCCGCCGGGTCCAAATGAAATTTGAGATAAAGGGGACGAAGTAAAGCCCCGGTCATCAATCATTTCGGCGCCGTTCAAAGGAAAAATGCGAAATTATTTGTCCGAAACGCGGACGGGCGGACACAGCGGCGTACGTGCGGGTTTTTCGGGCGCTATCTTCGAAAATGTTATTGTAATAATCATTTCATCTCTGTGGTGGGCCAAAAAGTTTTAAAAAAAGCCAAATTTTACTCTTTGTATCTTCGAAGATATTTATCAGCGGTTATGTTTTTTTTGTATATTTTTCTTTTCTGTGTTATTATTCTTTTTTTTTTATTTGTGCGACGTCTGCCCTATATAAAGCCTATCACATTCGCATTTCAGACCATGTATCACGTTACTTTTTCGTTGGATGGGGGTGTTATCCTTGAGGCAAAAGTAGAAATGTCTAAGCGTCTTCACGTTATAACGGGCAGTCCTTAAATTAAACAGTCGGAACAGTCTAATTAAAGATTGAAGTGTAATGTCTTGGTTGGCGGTTAGGTTATAAGGGTGGAGTTTAACCAGGGGCCCAGTAGTGTGTCGTCTTCACAAAATAACAATTTGTTAACAAATGCAAAAGGACACTAAAATGTCTCTCAACAAAAAGTTTAAAAAATGCCAAGTTTTACTCTTTTTGCAGCATTAAACAAGCAGGCCTTGAATTATCTAAAAACAATGAAATCACGGGGTAAACGTCTCCATGGTAACCGTAAACAGTGTCCGAATATTTATAGGGTGGGCCGTTTATCTTAAAAGTTAATTGGGGTATTAAAAACCTTCAATTTATTTCAGTTTTGTGTATACAAGATGTTTTATTTTTCGTGGACGAGTCTCAGCTTTCCTATTTTAAATGGAACACCTGGTATATTATTCCATGTTTGAATTCTGCACAAAATTCTAGACATATTTTGTTCATAATGTGTTGTACCCCGTTTTTAACATTTTTCATTTTTTATTCGAAAAATGACGTTTGCAACACTTAAAATATCTGCCAATTTCTTCGTTCGGAAGTATTTATTGTTTCACTTGAGTAAGTTTTGTTGTCGAGGAAGGACTGGAATAACGGATTAATACAGGGTACGCGAAAAATAAGATTAAAATGAGATTAAAAAAAACTGACCAAAAAACTTTTTTGCTAAAATGCAACAAAATATTAAAATGCTCTTCAGATTTTCTTCTTTCTTCAAAGTTCCATATATTCTAAAGGGCTGGTAAATATTGTCAAAGATTTTGTTTTTGGGCGCCTCTTTAATGGAAATTTTCTAATATAATCCCTAAGGTTTTTATTGTACGATATTCAACTTTCTAACATATCAATCTTTTTCTCTGTGGTAAACATAATACGCAAGCAGCATTCTGGCACTTGTTTTGTTTAAACGCCGTCATAGCCACCTTACACTAACTGAACTTATATGGCAACAGCATATTATTTGTGCAAATTGCAAAAATATTAGGCACTTAAACCTTATATAAAATTGCCTTAATTTTTGATGCTAAATATGACAAGACTATAAAAATGGGTAGTTTCCGTTTAAAGAAAAAGTTTTTTGGCATTTTTGAAAATTTCATTTTAATCTTATTTTTCGCGTTCCCTGTATTATTACGTATTGGTTCATTGAGAAATCCGTTATTCGAATCCTTTGTCTACAACAAAACTTACGCAAGTGAAACAATAAATGCTTCCGAATCAAGAAGTTGTGCAGATTTTTTAAGTATTGCAAAATGTCGTTTTCGCAAAAAAAAATTAAAAATGTCAGAAACAGTTATACTTAAGTATATGACATTATACACAAAATATGTCTAAAATTTTGTACAGAATTTAAAAATGAAGTAATGTACCAGGCGTTCCATTGAAAATAACAAAGTTGATACTTGTCCACCCTATATAATCGTGTTCATTTTGTTTTTTAGATTGCCCGTGAAAATGGCAAGCACGTGGAAAGGAAGTTACTGGTTAAAGAAAAAAAAAAACAGAATTCAGAATGACAGACAAGGCAAGGCTTAGGCTCGTTTTTCAAAAATTATTCAGTTTCCGCCGAAATTACCAAAACAGATTTTCAGTTTTTATATTATTTTACAAGTTTTAGGTAGTAGACCTTTAAAATCTATTTGACAGTAACTGCTCGATTATTTGTTTCCCTGCATCGTTGGTACAAAATGCCAGTAACCATCCATAAACTATTGATACACGAAAAAGGGATCGTAAGTCTAGTCCAGTGTCCATCAACTTTTCGAAGAGGTCTGCAATAAAGAGTACCGAAGATACAGGCAACATATCGGAAAACAAAATCAAGGCTTTAAATAAAAACAGATTTGGTCCCGCCGCTTTAAATTCGCCAGAGCTTTTCTGAGAAAATATTACGATTCTAAGGGAATCAGACGAACGTAGCCGCTCTGATTAAGCCTTGATTTAAAATTAAACTTATTATATTATTATTATTGTTATTATTAAATTAAAGTTGATACTGGTTAGTTTTATTTTGAAATATTCTACGTTCTTTTTTCAAATCGGTTCTTACAAAAACAGCAGATTTGCCATTATCTCAGGCAGATACTCTTCATTTCTGGTGCGAATATTTATCACAGAACGAATTTTAGATACCGCATCTTTTATTTTCTAAATAAGTGGTTTATGAACACAATGAAGCGAA